GGAAGAACCTCTGAACAAGTTTGTCCCGTGACCTTGACAGAAGGTTGGGAATCTGGACGGTCAGATCTGAGGGTGAATCCCAGCAGAGGGCATAAGGGCATATACCAGCAGCGTGTGCAGTCAGGCACTGGTGCCCAGAGACGGGGGACTGGGGTAGAGGAGGAGCAGGTGAAGTGGGCGGATGGCACGATGGGCCCAGACACCACACATGGAGTCAGAAGCGTGTGTTCCATCCTCGCACCATGTAGAGCGGATGAGGCGTGGCCAAAAGGATGGGGTCACAGTTCAATGAGGGAGGCTGCCGCAGTTGGACAGGGCAGGCTGACAGAGGAGGACTGGGAAGAGCTGGCTCTGTAATCCGGAAGACGCATGAGGAGGCCAGGACCACGGCAGCAGTCAACTATGGGCGTGCCTTGGGAAGATCAGAAAAACTTGCTGACTTAAGACTGAGAGTAAGAGAGGGGAACGCCAAGGATGCTGGGAGAACTGCAATGCCTCTGAATACACAGAGAAGCAACTGGGGTGAGGCTGCTATGGAGCTCCATGCAGGCACCTCTGAGTTTCCCTGAGCTACCTGAAATAGCAGCTGGCTGCACTATCCCCTACTGTACTCCAGGCAGACATTACTAATCAGTGGTGTCACTAGGAGACTTCCCTGGCTGTACTCTCCCTTCCTGTATCCCAGGTATACATCACTAATCAATGGTGCCACTAGGAGGCCACCCTGGCTACACTCTCCCCTCCTGTACCCCAGGCAGACATCACTAATCAATGGTGTCACTAGGAGGCCTCCCTGGCTGTACTCTCTTTTCCTATACTCCAGGCAGACATCACTAATCAATGGTGTCACTAGAAGACTGCCCTGGGTGCACTCTCCCCTCCTGTAGCCCAGGCAGACATCACTAATCAATGGTGCCACTAAGAGACTGCCCCGGCTGCGCTCTCCCCTCCTGTAGCCCAGGCAGATATTACTCATCCATGGGGCCACTAGGAGACTGCCCTGGGTGCACCCTCCCCTCCTGTAGCCCACCGAACCAGTGGTGTCACTCTTTCCTGAGGAGCACAGATATAGCCTGGACATCCTTTATGTAGGACTGGGCCTTCTGCCACTCCTGTGCGACCAGCATCTAAAATGAGGCCTGCCTATCTCCCACTCCCTGGCATCCTGACTGAGATCTGGAATCTGAAAGCTGGAAGCGTGGGATACCTTCATCGCACAGATGAGAAGGATGAAGTCCTTGGAGAAGCAGGGATGAAATCCGGTCCAATGTGCCAATGTCTTTGTTTGACATTTTGCTGCCTCTTGGAGTATAAAGCAGGGGGCAGGCAGGCAGCATTCGGCAGCTATGAACCAGAGCAGAAACGACAAGCCTGCCTCGAGATGAAACTGCCTCATTCTAAAATCTGGCCTCAAACCCTGGCGGAAATAAAGGCTGGGTGAGTGGGCATGTGCATGGAGCTTTGTATGGGAAGCAATACGAGCCTCTCAGCCAGTCCTCCAAGTAGCGTGATCACTTTTGCTAAATTCCTAAAGGTGGCAGCATCCCATTAAATATTCACTTGCCACCAAGGCTGCCGCAGGGAGCGTCCTCCGGAAGTAACCACGACAGAAAGTTAAGGCATGATGGCAGAAGGTCAGGTAGGTTAGAAGGGCTGGGGAGGCCAGCTCTGATGGGTCTGGCTCCTGGGTGACCTCTAAGCCCCCTTTTTGGGCAGGAGGGAGGTTGGAGAAAGCCAGACCCATCTCAGGGATGTGTCTGTGTGGACAGACCCTAGGGTGGCCCCAAGTTCACGTCCTGTGTAATCCCCTCCAGGGCCATGGCTTCCCTCTAACTGACACGAAGACAAGGGATGCCACTCCCCTGAGCATGTGAGGACCCACATGTGTGAGACTGGGTGCCACCAGGCTGTAGAGAGACTCTCCACGGACCAAGGCAAGCTGCTGCGAGGTGAACTGCCTGTGGAGAGGCTCCCGTGTGGGGACCTGAGTGGGCCTCTTGGAGCTGAGGGTCTCTGTTCACAGGGAATTGAATTCTTCCAGCAATCAGTGAGATTGGAAGAGGCCCCAAGCTCCAGATGAGACCCCAGCCCTGGCCAACGCCACCACTGGTTAGAGTCTGGTGAGACTCCAAGCAGAAGACCCAGCCCAGCCCTGCACTGCCCCATGGAAACAGAAATAAAAGGTGTGGTTCTAGGCCACTAAGTTTCTTGCCATTTCTTATGCAGCCCGAGAAATGAACACAGCCGATTTTGTGATGGAAAAGTACAGGAGTTAAAAACTATGGCTCCCGGAGAAGGCAGAAGAGAGCGGCCACAGCCTTTGCTGCTCAGCCACACTGCCTACTACCACGAGGAGGAACTGAGAAAGCAACTGTTTCTCACGCCAGGGCAGCAGCACCCCACCCAGCGCAAGGAGCATGTGCTCCAGGGCGAGTGTGAGAAGGAGAGTGAACCCAGTTTTCTTATCCAGTCTCATTCCCAAGCCCTGTCATCATGTGACCACATAACCGCAGATGACAGATGTTAAAGACAGGTGTTCATTCATCCCATGTCACCTGGACACAACCACTTACCTGATACCTCAGTGAACGGCCCCAGTCCAATCCAATGTTCGAAGGAAGCGTGGCTATCTTTATGTGTCCAGGGGCAGAAAGGCTGGTCTCCCACCTGGCCGCTTCCACCAGGGCCTTGCGCAGGAGGTCTGGTTTGATATTCGCCTCAGCTCATGACGCTAGAATTGACCTCACGTCTGAGCCATGAGTTCCCAGAAGTGCTCCCTGCAACACTGCACACTCAGGTGGCCCTACGCTCAGCTCAGCTCATAACAGTGACCAGCCTGATCAGGGTTCCAGCCCAGACCTGGCACTCGTTAGCCGTGAGACTCTGAGCAAGTCACTCTCCTTGTGAACAGAGAAGGGACAGCTTGCCCTTCCTTGAGCTGTTCCAGGAAGCAGATGAAATAGTGCATGTAAAATGCTGAGCGTGAAGCCAGCCCCCAGGAACACCAGCTATCGCTATCAGCCCTATTCTAGGTGCGGCTGAAACGCCCCCAGCGTATGCAGGAAGGCCCCTTCTTGGAGGAGGGCCGACAGGCAAAGCTGGAGTCTAGAAGAGCAGAGCTGGCTGGTGCCACAGGGCAGTGCCTGGAAAGGCTGGTGGGATGCTAGGGCCTGAGGCATTCAGCCTCCTGGGGCCAGCGAGGACCAAAAAGTCTGTCTCAAGGCCGCAATTCAGGCTGGTGAGCCTCATTTTCACACCTCCAAGGGGATGTCAGCCTTTCCATGATAACTGAAGGCCGTATCTTACATGCCACCGGCTGTCCTGAAAAGCCTCCATTGCAGCCCCGATCCATGCTTTCACTTCATGGATAGTTGTGTCAATCATATTATTATTATCAGTACTATCAAAAAAAAATAAATAATAAGACAAACCCACAAGAGTCCAAAGAAAAATGCGAAAACCACTAGCTTAGTTGAACTTTCCACCTGCCTTTCTGACACCTCGGTCTCCATCCAGAGAAAAGAAGATGTATGAGCATAATTGCACGTAATTGGAGCCGATGATGTGCGTGGAGCTTCCCATTCCACAATACGTCACGCACGGTGCTCCGAGTCAATAGCCATAAATCCTCACCACGGAGTCCCAGTCACAGCTCAGAACTGGCCTTTCTGATAACTTACGATTTGCTTAAGCAATCCCTTATTGATGGATATTAAGGATGCAGCATTTTAAAGTATTTTTGCTACTACAGTCATCCCCTCAAAAACTATATAAACACATCCTCACAGTCGTACGATGATCTCCAAGGTGCAAGTTCCTAGAACAAAGGAACTGATGTTGCTAGAACAAAGAAGGGAGATGTCAGGACCTGCAGATGGTGTGATGGTTTCATTGCTGGGCTCCCATGTAGTTGACCGTGGTTCAAGTCCCAGACCCAGTGACTTAAAACTCACGTTTGGGACAAGTGTGTGCCTACCCAACATCCCAAGAGGAGAATGGAAGAGGATTGCAGCATGGCCAACCCCCGTTGGGGCATGGAGGGAGGACACACGCCATGTATCAAGCTCACAGCTGGCCAGTGTTCAGGGCTGCGCTACCATCTTTAGGTAAAAGAATGAACTCTTAGCCATTCACCTCTCACTGTCACAGTGCCTTGCTACACCAACAGCGTCACCAGCCCCATGCCATATTTTTCTTTAGGTCAACTTGCTTTTTTTTTTTTTAACCTAAATATTTTCAAAGGAAATTTCATACTACCATCATCTGGAAAGCCAGGATTGCTTTTCCTAAAGAGAAGATCATCATAAAACTAAAACCAGTGATTCATGCATCACATGAAACAACGCCAATAGTCTATGTGTCCCCCAAAATCATGTCACGGTCACCAGCAAAATCCAATAGACCACACCTAAGGATCACACTGAGGGTTGCTGCATGCCTGAGAGCCGTGCACAGTGATTTTGGGTATCAGTGTAGGGAGCTTCTTGGCCACTGTAACCTTGGGGGGCAGGGGACCACAGGAACTCACATCTGCATCTTCCACGGACTTAGGCTCCGAAGACCACAAGTCTAACACTGACGTGGAGCCCCCAAACGCTCAGCAAGCATTCCCATCTTACCATGGAGACACCAAATGATTTAACTTCCCTTCACTTCCTCCTTGCCACCTGGGGCCCTCACGTCGGAGGGTAAAGGGACCAGCCCATGCCCCTCTACCAACCACTGCACGCCAGACCCTTTCTGCAGACGGACCTGGTTCTCCACAAAGACCCGCATTCAGCTTTCATACCGCCTACCAGGAATATGGCCCCAGGTGTTTCTAGGAGAAATTGTGCTAGCGCTTAAGTAACTCCATTCTGCTCAAACCCAGTTATTTCTCCAACAAGATCAGTTTCAGGTAAAAACCATTCCTGGTGATTGATGACTGAGACCATAGAGGCTGAAAAGGATGCAAACGCAGTTTCGGAATCTAATTTGTCCAGCAAAATGCTTCTACTTACTGCGTCTGGTGGACTGTTCTTGGCACAGGAGAGGGGGGCTGAATTCTCAGGCCTGGAATCCTGGCAAAAACAAACAGAAAGGACAGAGAAACCAAGTTAAAGAGAATATTCTAACTTGGAGCAACCCAGTTTAGCATGGTCCCTGAGTGACTAGCCACGCCACTCCACTTGTCTCCGTCCTTCCCCTACAGGGGTCCAGACCTGCGCTGCCCACAAATGGCACTACCCACGCCTTGCTGGAGCGTGCTTCGTGTGTAACATACACACTGGGTTTTGAAGACACTACAAAGACGTGTAACATATCACACTCATAATACTATCTTATTGATATTTTATATCAGTCACACTAGAATAGCTTAATATTTAAAATACATAACAATAAGAAATATTATTGTGTTACAAATAAAATTATGTCATGGCTACCTAAAATAAAAGTTATCGTTACAATTAATTTTGTCTCTTCTGTTTTTCACTACTAGAAAATCCGTGTGCACCTGTGACTCCCATGAGCTCTCTGGTAGGCAGTACTGGTCAGGATTTCCCAGTGTGGACACACGTTGTGGCCCAATGACACGCATGGTCTCTAGTTTTCCACTGCCCCACCCCAGCAGCCACGCATGTTTCGGGACCTCCTGGCACACTGAGGGCTTAGCGCACTTTGTGCCTGTCTTCTTAGACCTCAGAGGACTCAAGAAGCAGGTTTTAATCTTGGTCCAAGGTTGCAGGTGACAAAACAACAGGAAGGCTGAGACTTGCCCAGAGTGACCCAGCTCGCTGCTGCAGAGCCACAGTGTCACTCGGGGTGCCGGCTGCAACCCCGGATGCTGATCACCATCCAGGGCTCTCCCTCGGACGCCTCGTCCCCTTTCCCCTGAGGCACAGCACACAGAGCTGTGGAAGTCAGTCACATCCAACTCTGGGGATGACCCAGCTCGCTGCTGCAGAGCCACAGTGTCGCCCGGGGTGCCGGATGCTGATCACCATCCAGGGCTTTCCTTCGGACGCCTCGTCCCGTTTCCCCTGAGGCACAGCACACAAAGCTGTGGAAGTCAGTCACATCAAACTCTGGGGACGTGCCCCCACCTCAAAGGTGTGTGAGCCTACAGCTCCACATGTTCAGTAACCGAAATCACTAGGCTTTGGCTCGGAATCACCTCCTCACACGCCTGGCCAGAGAGGTGTGCATGCGTGCATGTGTTCATGAGAAAGAGAGAGATGTAGAGAGTGAAAAGATGGAAAGACAGCGAGAGAGAGAAAAACAGAAAGGGAAGCTCACAGCTTTTTCCTGCACCTGCCACAGGGAACACTCAGACCCACCCACAGAGTGCCGGACTCGTGCCTCCACGGGCAGTTCTAAAACAGGCACGTTTGCTGTTGCCCTTTTACAGTTTTCTTTCTTTAGAGAGATTTTTGCTGTAGAGTGTGTGTGCTTGCTGGAGAGATAGAGACAGACAGAGAGACAAAAAGTGAGAGATCATCCCCCGGGGGGAGATGGCCACGCTGCAATCCTTCTCTTCCATTCTCTTCTTGGGGTTTTAGGTGCACACGCACATGTGCCCAGCATGAGTTTGAAACCACCAGGTCCAGGACTTGAACCATGGTTGACCAGGTTGGAGTCCATTGATGTAACCATCACGCCATCTGCAGGTCCCCCTATTTTACAGTTTTCTAATAAACATTGGTTGTGGAAAAATCTAGTGATCAAAAAATAGAAATAAACCAAAATTGTGCTTGTACCTTTCCTTCTCCTGCACAGAGACTGGTTCTCACAACACCTCCTGGTTCAATGAAATGAATGAATGAATCTGGACACAAACCATGACACCCTCCCCCCCTTCAGCAACTGTGACTGCCGAAGGAAGGAGACTGGGAGAGGAGAGAACGGGGACCATGTCGCCAATGCAGTGATTTGACTGCCAGACAGGAAAATAGGTTTTCTGATACGCTGTGGAATTATAAATTGGTCAAAAATTTTAAGTTGGTAACACTTGGACTAGCTGTCCCACTTCTTAGAAATTCTGCTCTTTAATTGCCTGTTAACTGGGGCCAGCAGGTGGCATGGTGGTTAAGGCACTAGATTCACACATGCTGACCGTAGTTCGAGTCCTGGACCTGGTGGCTTGCTTTCTTACTTTCCTTCTTTATCTCTCTCTCTTTCTCTCTCTGTCTGTCTCTGGTGAGCACACGTGCCCTGTAACTAATTACAAAAATAATAATAATGGTAAATCAAATAAAATAAATAACTTAAAAAATGTCCATTAGTGGCATCCCTTTCCTCCTCCGCAGCTTTCCAGCGTCTAGTAATCACTATTACACCAGAGAGAAAGAGAGGGCCGTGAACACTCCCAACGCCGAGCAAGGACAGTTCTCTCAGATGACGGACGTGCCACGCACCCAGGCTTGATCATTACACGTTGTGTGCTTGTACTAAAGAACCACACTGTATCCCGTAAGCATGCAAACTATCATGCCTTAATAATAATAATGAAATAAATAAGATACATGTCTGCCATGTGTAGCATAACCTACGCCAAGGATATTCACGGACGTCCTTTTTGTAATGACAAGATATTGGGAGCAGCATACTTCCATCTGTCAGAGGCTAACTAAGCTACGCTTCACCTAGACGCCCTCCGGAAACACAGACGCGGTTCTGCATGGGGCAGTAGAAGAAGACAGTGAAACACACAGGGCTATGGATGTGCGATAGGCCACATCTGCTCACTGTTTTAAGAATAATTGTATTTCTGGTATGCGTCAGAATCTCCAGGAATTAGACAAGAAACTAATTAAAAACAAAAACAAAACAAAAAAATCTTATTTTGGACAGAGGGACCAGTAAGCTGGCAGGGTAGGAGGGACTCTTGAATCTTGTATTGTGGACAGGTATTATCAACTAAAGACCTTTATTCTACTTTAAACTTGCTATTTTATTTCAAAAAGAAAATAATATAAGAGAAAAGCTCTTGATAACCCTAGCAAGAATCCTGTGGGTAAGGATTCCTTTGTTAATATTTTCCAGAAAAATAATAATAATTAGTTTACAAAATACGGCAAATAATTTCATAATTTTGGATGACAAGAGACCTGCCAAGGGGGTCTGAATGCAGAAACATTAGCCCTGGGGAAATGAATATCACCCTGGGTTTTACCAGGAAGTGGAAGTAAGAAGCACATAAGCCACTGCTCTCATCATGTTCCCAGGGCAGACAGTACTAATCAATCGTGGCATCTTACTGCTAAGCTGGCTGCAGGCATCATCCCACCACCCTGGAGATGCACCAATCTCTGTGAGCCAGTGCCAGCTAAATCCCACCCCTGGGTAGGGTACCCACAGGACAAAGCCGTGAGCACACGACGCAGGGTCTCCGGTCATGGTCTCCGGTCATGATCCCCGGCCCCTCATCTGGGCCTGGAACGAGGCCATGTCACCCAATTGGCCACCGGGCCTGTTCCTCCGCCCATGCCCCACACGGAGGCAGCCAGCTTCTCAGAGCTCCTTTCCTGTCCCCAGGCCCGCCCACCAGCCAGACCCACACCACCCAGATCACCTTTGAGGAAATGCCATTAACCTTCAGCAAAGAACTCAGGCTGCTCTTGTTTCCCCCAACTTAGAAAATTCCGTGTAAATGTCAGATTAAGCTCTTCAGTCCTCTGCTTTTAAAATGAGAGATAAAATTTAGCTCCCTATCCCCAGATGTTAAACCTCTGCTTCTCCCCAAGGCAAAGAAATCAATGCGCGTAAGCTCCATATTTTTTTCCCTTGGAACACTACCACTTCCAGCAATTTATTTGACTGACTATGCCTTCTATTACCATGTAAATTGTTTCAGACTGCAGGAAAAAAAAAGTATTAATCTCCTCTCAGTAAGTCATAAAATAAAGAAATCAATTTCAAGGTCAATTTAGTCCAAATAACACCTGCTGCCCTTTTCTGTAACATGCGGACTTCTCTGGAACGCGAAGCTGCTGTCTAAGGCATCAGGGCGCAGCCAAGGGAAACCCAGCTTCGTGTCAGTCAGGGCAGCTAGGGAGACCCAGGCCCCAGGGCCAGTGCCTAACAGTGAGTTTGGGATGGACGGGGCTCAAAGGATCCAAAAAAGGGACCACCTGCAGGCCAGGGCAGGGGAGCAGAAGGAGAGCCACACTAGGGATCAGATGGGCTGGGCCCGAAGCACGAGTCCAGCTGGATGGCTGAGTGACTCTGGGAAAATTACTAACCTCTCTGAGCCCCAGAGTCTACACCTGTCCAATTGCTTAAAATAAAATAAGGGCTGGATGATCTCACAGGATCTTCCAACAGTCCACTGTGGACTCTGCAAGAGCTCAGACACCTTGGAGAGCTGGACTAGACCACCACTTCCACGTAGCTACCCTTCGTCAGTGGCGGGGTCATAGTAGTTAAAGAAACGCTCTGGAGTCCACACTGTCTTTGTCATTTCTGAGTGACATGACCTTGGACAAGCGCCTACTCTGAGTTTCTTCCTCTGTAAGACGGAAGTGATGATGTTACCTATTTCTGAAAAGAGAACCATCGTCCTTCCCTCGTGATGAGTACACTGGACTCAGAGATGTCAAGTGACTGGCTCAAGGTTGCCCAGCTCAGAAGAGGCCCATCCGAGTCCAGCCTCAGGCAGCTAGCCCCAGGTTATAATGCCCAACTTCTCTCAGGAGTCCTGCCAGGGAGCAGAGGCGTGTCCACCACACACTCCCCCTGTGGAACAGAGTGTGGGGAGGACTACAGGCCTCTGACATGTCATGGAGACCCACCCCAGACCCACAGCTAAGGAGGATGCACCCAGGGCTCCTGGGACACGGACCAGCAGGGACACAGCCAAGTGCAGTCTGAGGCGGGTCCAGGACCAGGAGACTGGGAAGGCCCGGGCTAGGCCACCCCCATAAGGAGAGTTTCTCCCCACTCACCTACATGCCCACTGCTGCACCCAGGCCTTCCTGGCTACTGGCCCTCCTGAGCCTGCAAGTTTTCACCCACCTCCAGAAAGTGAGCCCATGCCCCGGAGGCCACGCTATGCAGACAGCCCGGCCACCCTCCACTTTTC